ACGTATGTTCGTAATGCCTTTGCGAATAACCACTCAGTTATTGCCATATTTTTTGATCTTGAGAAGGCATATGACACAACTTGGAGGTATAATATTTTAGCCCAAGCCCACTCCTTAGGCCTTCGAGGCAATCTACCATCCTTCCTTAAGAACTTTTTAACTGACAGGAAATTCCGTGTTCGGGTTAATAATGTTCTCTCCCCGGACTTTATCCAAGCTGAAGGTGTCCCCCCAGGGATGTGTTCTGAGCACAACACTTTTTCTCCTTGCTATTAATGATTTGGCCTCTAGTCTTCCATCAAATATTTGGTCATCACTCTATTTTTGATGACTTCGCTATTGCCTGTGCAGGCGCTGACTGTCCCTCCTTACAGTTTCTCTCCAGCATGCAGTCGACCGTGTTTCCAATTGGGCCACCACACATGGGTTTAAATTTTCCAGCACTAAAACCCACCAAATCACTTTCACTAACGCTCTGTCATCTCTGATCATCCTTTGTACCTCTATGGCTCACGTATCCCTGAAGGTGATACAGTCAAGTTTCTGGGCCTCCTCTTTGATTTGTAGGTTATCCTGGAAACCTCACATTACCCTTGAAGGCAACTTGTCACAGCCGGCTTTAACCTTCTTAAAACCCTTGCTCATCTTTCGTGGGGAGCTGATCGTCGAACCCTCCTTTCCACCTACATTCCACCCTTATTTTATCGAAACTTGATTATGGGACCAGATCTATTCAGCGGCATCTCCTGCTACTCTCTCTAGCCTTAACCCCATTCAAACACCAAGGATTACGTTTATTTCCTTGGTGCTTTTCGCTCTTCCCCTGTCGAAAGCCTCTATGCAGAAGCGAACCTTTTCCCTCCTTATCGATCGCCGTGATGCCCATTGCCTGCGCTACTATGTACGCTCTCATGATCTCCGCAATCCTTCCATTTATAGAATGGTCACTGATATTAGTAGACATCTTTATTGTTCGCCGCCCCTGCTTACCCGTCCCCTTCTCTCTTCGCCTTCATTCGCTCTTGTCTTCTCTTCAACTACCACCTTTCTATGTACATGTAGCATCACACTTTTCCCTACCCCCCTGGGAAGTTCCAGCTGTTCGGTCTGTTCTTCTCCCTCCCTTTCTCGAAAGCCCAACTGTCTACGGTCGCTTCCCGCTCTCTTTTTCTTGACCACTTTCACCTCATTCCAAAGCCATTGCGTGTACACGAGGCTCTAAGCTTCTGACGGCGGGGGATTCGCAGCAGTGTTTCCGGACAGCGTCGTACAAGGGCATTTCTATCTTCACTAGTATTTTTACTGCTGAATTATATGCCATCCTTACAGCACTTATTTCCCTATTGCATCTATGCCTGTGTCATCATTTGTGGGTTTTCTCAGACTCCCTTAGTGCTTTACAGGCTATACAAAAATTTGATACACCTCACCCCTTAGTCCTCCGTATCCAACTTGGCTACGCCGCATCTTTACTAAGCATAAAGAATTGTTTTTTGTTGGGTCCCTGGTCATGTTTACGTACAGGGCAATGAACAGCAGACACTGCTGCGCGGTCAGCAGTACAGACCTACCATTTCTTATAGAGGTATTCCATGTACGGACTATTTTTGCTGTAATATCTTCCCACCTTCACACCCGTTGGCAACAACGTTGGTCTACTATGCTCGGCAACAACTTCAGTCTATTAAACCGAGTATAGGTTACTGGCCGTCTTCTTTTTCACCAGTGTCGAGGTTGGGAGACTACTCTCTCCCGTCTTCGCATTGGCCTACTCGTCTTACCATTTGGGTATCTCATGGAGAGGGGTCTTGCTCCTCTCTGTGAGAATTGCCAAGCTCCATTATCAGTCAGCCACATTCTGTTGGACTGCCCACTTTATCAACGAGCACGCAGAATTTACCTCTGTCGTCGTCTTCCGCCCCGCTGCTCTCTCTTTACCTTCCCTTCTCGCTGATGGACCCCACCTTTCATCCGGACTCTCTCATTGACTTTTTGACAACGAAAGACTTACTCCACAAATTTTGATACTTTCAGCCCCTTTCTACTTGTTCTCTTGCTACCCTCTACCCCCGTACTATCCCCTGCCCCGCTGTTTTCTGTAACCTGCTGATCATCCCCCCTCCCTTCTGCCATCCAATCCCTTGCTTTCCCTTTCCCCACCCTGCAGCGCTGTATAGCCCTTGTGGCTTAGCGCTTCTTTTTGATTATAATAATAATAAATACACGTTTTTCTCTAAAGTAGAAACTCTCAAAGAAAATTAGAACACTCGTAGGGAAACTTGCTAATATGACTGAAAAAATCTAAAAAAAAGTATATATTCATGTACAGGTACCCAAATAGTTACATAGATTATCAAACATAGCAGCATATGTGTAAATAACCTGGGATAACCCATAAAAGTCAGTGACTTATTTCCATTGGGGTACTTTAGGTTCTTGTTTGCATATTGGTGAATAAAAAAAATTAGAATTTATTGAAATTATTTAAACTGAAGAAAAGCAGATGAAGTTTTTGCTCAGATTATTAACCCAGCGAGTTAGAAGCCCATTAGATTATCTTACTTCCACTGTGGAGGGGGAAGGGATCCTTTTGTGGAAAATACTGTATATTTTCCGGAAATACGGTAATTTATAGGTAAATAGATGCCCTAATATTGTATTTTTTTAAAAAAAGTATGTTATCGAAAATGGGAAACTGGACCTGCGCCTGCGCAGACGGAGTCGCCATTTTTGTTTGAATTTGTATTAGAAAAGTTGGTGAAATGGGAAGAATTTTTCGTGCTCTAGAGGTTAAAAAATTTGGGGTGACACCTCCCCAAATAGGAGGTGAAATTGGTGGATATGCATTCCTGCATAACTTGAGATATCAGGCACAGGACAGGACAACTCCAGGAACCTCAGATAAGCTGTCTAATTTATGTTTAATTTCTGGCCAGTAAAATTTTCATAAATGTAGGCAAAAGGGGGGGCCCTGTACATGACACATTAATCTTCAGTCAAATTGGTGAGTGTTATGATTAAGATATTCTCTGTTATGTATGTGTATCTATAATCATTTATTATTTTTAATATACAGTCCACAAATTTATTTTTTTACCAGCAATTTCCTGGTGATGTATTTTTCATTGTAATTAATAGGGCCAGAGCAAAATTTTGGATATGACAGTGGTAGGTATCGAAGGGGGACATTTTTTGCGACCTAGGTGTCCCAAATTCCTACTTGTCTAATTGATAAATAATAATCTTTGTTATTTACTGGTATGTACATTATGAGTTTCATCCAGTAAAATGCAATTTTCCACACCTTTAATTTTGTTTCCCCCAGGATGCGACCCACACCAACGAACTAAGCACCCAAGTGCCTTAAATGCTTTGGGGAAAAGGGACAGCAGGGGTTAAAAATAAATAAACAAAACAAACAAACATACCCATTTTTCACTTGTCCCCAGGATCGAACTTTGGTTCCCCCATTGTGAGCCAGGAAATAAGTCACCGACTTAAGTCATTTTTATTCAGGTACAGGTACACACAAATACAATTTCATAATTTATCATACATAGCAGTATAATTTTGTAGACTTTTTACTAGGTATACTATGTATGTTCTTGCGTACTGTATCTAAACAGCCTAGTGAGCCACGAACACCTAGAATGACCTCATGAAGCCAGTCTGGCAATATAGTGTAATTCCTGTGTTTCCTTTAATGTTAAGATGCAATCAGGTTGGGAATGGTTATATTTGGCGGGGGGGGGGGGTGGAAATTGTCAAAAATTTTTGGGGCCTTCACAGGTATATAACTCTGGTATAACTGGGGGTATATGGTGTGTGATATTAGGTTGTCAAACACTTTTGTCTGTTGTAATCATTTTTGTAAGGGGGAATTGGGATTTTGTGATTTACCCTTTTGTGTACCTTAATATAATTTTTCCCCCTTGTATTGTAATGTTTTAAATAAAAATAAAAAAAAAAACATTGGCCTTTTGATCATGTACAGTATATGACATATTTATTTTTATTAACAGTGATAAAAATCATTAAATATGCAACTGATTTCATGTAAGTGATTAAATAAATCTTAATTCAGATTATTAACCTCGTAAGTTAAATGGCCAGGAAGAACAACTTTTCATTAGGCCTTTTTTCTATAAAAATTTTAACATTTGCAGTAGTTTTATATAGTAAATTATATAGAAATTTTAAACCCAAAGGATAGCCCACGAAATTTTTTGGGGGTTATCCTACGGATGATAATCCAGAATCATTTGAAAATGTTAGAACAAGAAGCTTAGGGAAGGGTTTGTATGTAAATCTTTGAACACGAGCCAACCGAGATGATGTCTGCTTCTCTGTCTTCCTCTCATACTCTGTAAGCTACAACTACTAACAGAGCCTCTATTGTAGATGAAGGTTCAGAGAACCGACATGTTGAAGTAGACACATGTGCAACTCGGGTATTTTATTGGGAAACGTTTCGCCACACAGTGGGCTTCTTCATCCAACAAAGGGAAACTTGAAGAACAGGAGGAGAATGAGGTAATTCAGTCCCTCAAAACCTTTAGCGAGTGGTCAGTCCATCAACTTGAATAGATTGATGGTTGATCGACTCAAGCTGAGGGACGATTACCTCATTTTCCTGTTCTTAAAGTTCTCCTTTGTAAGGACTGAAGAAGCACTGGTTGCGAAACGTTTCCTCATAAGAACCCAGAGTTGCACAGCTAATTCAAAGCCCTATAGCATCGTCCGAGCTAGACTGGGAAAGGGATCAAGGGTTCGATTCCGACTTGGTAGAAATATTGGCATGTTTCCTTACACCTGCTGTCCCTGTTTACCCAGCAGTAAGGAGATACCTTGTTATTGGACGACTGGTATAGGTTGCATCCTGGGGGAGAGGATTAAAGAACCCCAGTAGAAATAAGTCTTAGATGACAGCCAGACATGACTCGGTTATCCTGGGTTACTAACCCTCGAGCAATCCAATTAAAATTTCCTTCACAGTTGCTCTGTCAGCAATGTTGGCCAGTATGAGAACCTTGCAGTCAGCGGGACAACAGTTTACTCAGCACAAGCTGGATGTCGGAGAGGACAGGGATAGTGGTGGTGGTGGTGAGTGTAGGGGTGGTAGTGGTAAGTCGTGGGTGAGGGATGAGTGTGTGACCCGTACTACCAGCATGCCTAATCCGCCAGTCCAACTTTTCTGTCCCCCCGCCTCCACCGCTGCCTACCTCTGCCCCACCGCCTCCATTTCACGAGAACTCGACTCCAGACTCTGCCGGTGATCAGCCTTCCAAGTAGCCAGGCAAGCGCGCGCCCACACTTGTTACCTTGAGAGTTGGGGGTAAATAAGTCAGCTATTATTTAAAATTATTTATTGGGGGCTATATAAATTTGTAATATATATTTACCTAGAAAATTCATTAATATATTAAAACGCGAGATAATTATTTCACCATATCATAAGCCTTGATACTCCTGCCTTCAAACTGTGCCCTTGACGTAACATGAACGCTCTCACCCTGCCAGGACTACAGTGAAGGCTACGATCAACCAATCTACATGGAGGTGGACCAGTACGGCAGGTCTCCACTAGAGACTTACATACAGCTGGGTGAGGAACAGCATTTCATTCGCCCTTAACTAACATCCTCTATTTCCTCATTGTCTCAGACTTCTTATATAATCATTTTTCTGTGCAATGTTTAATTTAAATCTTCATTTGTTTTCCTTGTTCTATCTTTATCGTCCTTCTGCTGCTTCAACATTCTAACGTTCTTTATCCCCTCTCAGGTTTCTCTCGTTTTTTTTTCTTTCTTTGTCATTTTGTATTTAGAAGATACTTTTCTTTCTCCTTAAGATAATCCTCACGGGAGATTCCCTGATGTAAGTAGGGGCTCTTGATCTATTAATTAAACTTGATCACCAATCACAAAGCTCAGAGGGAAAATTTTTTTGGAATCCACCTTGATAAAAGTCTCAGATTTCAAAACACGTGTACAACAAAAATTTCCAAGAAAATCTCCAAGACTGTAGGCATACTAAACGAAGATAAGGTACTATGTTCCACAGTCAGCCCTCCTGGCCCTATATCACTCTTGTTTACCCCTATCTCGCCTGTGGAATTTGTGCATGGGGCTCAACAACAATAAACCATCTCAGACCATTAATTACCCAACAAAAGGCTGCAGTCAAAATAACAAACTCCCACTACAGGCAGCATACTCCACCAATATTCAAAACTCTAAACCTACTCACCATACAAAACATCCATACTTATTATTGTACCTACTACATACATAGAACACTTAATAACGGATATAAACCCTCCCCTCAAACGTCTCCTTACCAACCTCAAACAGAACACATGACCATAACACAAGGTGAGATTAAGACACATGTGCAACATCTGGGTATCTTTATTGTAGACGTTCGCCATCCAGTGGCTTTATCAATACAAATTCTAGACATAACTTGAAGACAGTAGAACTATGTACAGAAGATGAGGTAATCAGTCCCTCAACCTAGGAGTAGGTGCGAAGAGCACCATAGTCGTGGAGTATTCTGAAGCAGAAGAAAGGATCCTGGCGCTTATATAGTAACGTCAGGTGTAGCAGACGAGGGCATATTCACTGGTAGGCGGGATTCCCCAGTGGAAGTAGGTCCTTCCCAAAGAGATGGGTTAGTTGTAGTAGTAGTTGTCGTAGTCGTGAAGGTTATGTACATGTCCTCAGAATTAAGATTCCATGATGTTGCAGTGTCTGAGGACATGTACATAACCTTCACGACTACGACAACTACTACTACAACTAACCCATCTCTTTGGGAAGGACCTACTTCCACTGGGGAATCCCGCCTACCAGTGAATTTGCCCTCGTCTGCTACACCTGACGTTACTATATAAGCGCCAGGATCCTTTCTTCTGCTTCAGATGCATTCTGCTCTTGACTCTTGCCTTGGCAGGTCATAGCAGCTCTCCTTACTTACTCTGTCTCCCTACGATCCCCGTTGGGGAGGGGAAACCTTTACCAGCGTTGTCTTCACCTTGACTTGCACGATGAGCTACGCAAATCGTGTCAAGATCAAGCCAACAAGTGGTACCGTTGATGATTCAACGAAGATTGCTCTTGCAACTGCTGTTCAAGGAACACTGAAAGTTAAATTCAACACCATTTTGTCTCTGAAAGAAGCATTCATTGTTGTGTGTCACGATGATGCTGAAGCAGAGAAGCTACTCACTACAGATGCTACCACACACTCACTGCTCAAGGGTTTACTGTTATGTCATCTCCTGCGCTCAAGGCCAGGAAATCAGTATTCCTCAAAAAACTGGACAAGATTCTGACGTCCTCTATCACCTGCAGAACTCAAGACAATCCATCGAGACTCAAAATACTTGGGCTACTGTTGACAGCATCACAAAAATCCCGAATGCATCGTCCATGCTCAAGGTTACCTTCACCGACGTTAACATGGCTGCCACTGCCCTGAACGAAGGTCTTGCTGTTTACTATTACTTCATCAGTCCAACTTACATCGAAGCAGAGAGATATCAGTACATCCAACACTGCTGGAACTGTTATTCTTACCATCACACCACCAAAGCATGTCCAGTAAAAGACAAGAAGTTCTGCACTACATGTGGTAGTGAGGGACACACCTTCAGTTCCTGCACCATTGCTACTCCACCACAACCATCGTGCTTAAACTGTAAAAGTAACGACCACCATACACTGGCAGCAAAATGTCCTACACGAAAGGATATTGTGAAGAAAACACAAGAAGCAGCAAAGAAAAAACCTACTAGCAACACACCAACGTATGCAGCAATTGCAAAGATCCAAGCTAACACACGAAATTACTTCAAGCTACTACTCAGCCAGCCTCCACCATCATCACTCCTCCAGCTTGTGACGTAACCAAGATCCACTACTGTCTCATATACGCTCACATGCAGAATATGGCTGTACCTGGATCTTTTAACTCTACCATCAACGAGTTATTTGCACTAAATAATATGCCATCATTCATATTCCCAGCATCTCCACCTTCGGCAGAAATACTAAAATTCACCAAGGACTTAATCAACACCTCTACGCCTGCAGCTCCAACACCATCAACAACTAGTGACGTCACTCCAACAACGTCCAATGAGAAGTCTCCATCGCCTCCACTCCTAAACGAGACCGACCAATCAGAAGCCTTTCCACCAGAAACATCCTCTCATTCGTCCATTGAAGAAGAAGAAGAAGAAGAAGAAGAAGAAGAAGAAGATGAAGATGAAGAAGAAGTAGAAGCAGAAGAAGTTGAAGTGGAAAATGTACCTTCACCAGCAACAACACTACTAGTCAAAACACTTACTGCACCATTTGAAGAAGACGATTATCTTGATTGGCATGGAATATTTTTCTTTACCACAGAAAATTATCCTCAAGACATGGAGCCAGCTGAACTCAAATCTCACCTCATCCAAAAAACAGTCAAGTTTCTTGTAGATACCGAAGCTACTTGTGGACAAAAAGCTGCTAGAACTGAACTTGCAGACCTTATAAAGCATGCTGAAAACTTAATCAAAAACCCTCACTACCGACACTTGTTAACTCGTATCTTTAAACTTCCTCTCCAACGATTTAAACATATTAACAATGGAACATCACTCAGTTACTTAGAAAAAATGCAGAAAAAAACACCACAAGTCTAGATAACCACCAAGCCATTATGAAATGACCAATCAACGTTGAGCTCCTCCCTTGTCGCCTGCAGCCACCAATCACCATCAAGAAGCAGTAATTCTCCATCCAGCAAGTTGCAGTCAGCTCCTACAGATTCCTGTTGTCTCTACATCGTCTTTCGTCATTGTTATCCAGGCTTAGCAGTTGGGTTTAGTCCTGACTCTTCTCTCTTCGACTCAAGACATTCCTCTCCCCGTCTATTCTTCGCACTGTCCCCACTTGCCCCTCGCCCCTCGTGGGCCCTTACCTGTGAGTCCGATCTGATCTGATCTGATCTGCTTCAGAATCTCCACGACTATGGTGCTCTTCGCACCTACTCTAGGTTGAGGGACTGATTACCTCATCTTCTGTACATAGTTCTACTGTCTTCAAGTTATGTCCTAGAATTTGTATTGATAAAGCCACTGGATGGCGAAACGTCTAAAATTTAAAGATACCCAGATGTTGCACATGTGTCTTAATCTCATTTTGTCGGTATTGTATACCATTCGTACACCATAACACAAGACAGAGATCACTCTTTGATGTTCCTCGTGTCCATCTCACACTATGTAACAACTCAATGCACATAAAAGGCCCAAAAATCTGGAATTCATTACCTGTGAATATAAAAGAAATACTGTCTGTTTATCATTTAAGACTCGTCTTAAGAACCACTTACTCACCCACAACTAAATAAATACTGAATTACTGTATCTCATAAATGTATAACCTGTGACCTATCAAACTATGTATTTTAATTACATAACCTAACAGACTACTCCATTCTCTTGAATGCACAGTAACTCGTCAAATGACCATATGACCTGTCTCTGAATTACTCATTTGTGCTTCATGTTATAATTTGTTTACTGTAATTTTACCACTGAATATATCATTGCTTAGTTACTTAAGTTAATTTTAAGCCTGCCCATAATGCTCAGCATACAAGGGTCTTTTGGCATATACACCCAACCACTGTATTTCTTTGTATAACTATGTATCATGTCCAAATTAATAATAAATAAATAAATTGCCTCCAAGGCGCTGTATGAACCTGATATACATCATCTTGACAGTTTTATTGTTCTCTTGGCAGTTTTGTTATGTTGAGATATAGAACTTTTAGTGGCTACGTTTTGTCCACGCGTAGAACTATTAAATTAGAAAAATACTGATCATCTGTTTGACTTGATATGTCCACTGTCTGGGTGTTACTACTACTACAACTGCTTAAAATGTATGCATTTAGAAGACAGTATATTGTGTTGTCTACATAATCCAGATTATTACTCCCTCATATGTTTGTAATTCTTACACGACAGAGGATATTAACGGTAAGGAAGGTGGGAAGGAGAGGTCATCTCCGCTTGCTACTACTCCCTCAGCACCACCATTTCCAACACAGGCAGCATACACCAAGGATCACATCTGCTGCCCCTCCAACTCGCCCAGCTGTGTGTGGACAAGCTGTTCCTGCCTTTCGCCTACTTCTAAGGCCCTCTCCAACTGCAACGCTCCCTCAAAGGCCATAGTCAACTACATCAACGTCTCTGTCAACCACCTGTCCATCTCGTCTCGGGGTAGCAGCATGTCATCTAACACTGGCGGCGTCTCTCCCTCACCTAGACACACTCCTGTCAACCTCTGTCCCCACTTGGGGCAGCACCCTGGGCTACTCCAGCGGCTGCACCAAACCCGCATCTGACATCCTTTCCCCCAAACTACAAAACATCGTAAGTACATTTTCAATTTGAAACAAAATTTTAGGCGAATAGTAATAAAAATTTTGGTAAATAACTGTGTGTATGTACATGTACAGGCATGCATGAATATGTACATGGATATGTGCAACTATAGCTCACTTGTCAACTAATTTTATGCCATTTTCCCTGTGCACTTCCCATTATTAAGATCCTACTCTAGAAGACAGTCTAGGTGTGTGATTTTATGTGCATTTTTGAACATTTGTGGGATTTCTGAAATTTAAGGGGTTTTTTGAGGAGAAAGATGAGGGATACCCAGTCAAAAGCGCGCCCATGTCTGGCCGCGAGGGGGTTCAGGATCGTAAGCAGTTTAAATTTAAAGGGGTTTTGGGTGTCGTCAGCAGAAAAAAACGCAGGGGGCAGCCAGGGGACCCCGAGAAATTGACAACCCCCGGGGAAAAGCCATAGTCATTTGATACCCCTTCGTGGGTTGCGAGATTTGTTTTCCACTCAGGGTAAGTCACCAAAAAAAAATTTCCTCATGCAAAGTTTTCCCTTTTTTTCGGGGTTTATATGTAACAAAGCTGAAAAATTCAAAATTATTATTTGGGCCCTCTAATTTCACAACCTTCTTGAGGTGGTGTTTTGTGTGTGGGTTGGGTGTGGTGTGTGTGTGTTGGTGTGTGTGATGTGTACTGCCTATTTGTGGTTGCGGGGGTCGAGTCTTTGCCCCGGGCCCCCCCTTTTCACTGATCGTTTACTAGGTCCCCTCTCCCCCTGCCATGAGCTTTATCATCCTCTTTTAAAAAAATTGTATGGTTCCCCCCCAAACTACGTCACTTTCTAGGCTTTTTCCCCTTTTCCCTGATACTTGAAAAAAAATTTTCCTAACCCCCTTTTTAATTCATCGGGGGTCTTCGACTTCCAATTGTGACCTCTTTTTTTGTCCCCCATCTCTGAAGCATCGGTTTTTGGGCCCCACCTTGTCTATTCCGCGCAGTTTTTTTATATGCCCTTTATCATTTTCCCTTGACCCCCCCTCTGTGTGTTGTGTGTGTGTGTGTTGTGTGTGTGGGGTGTGTGTGGTGTGTGGGTGTTTTGTGTGTTTTGTGGGACACACATACCTTCTCGTTCCCCATAAAACCCTATATTAATTTACCTAAAGTTTTTGCCAAAATGAGCTACTTAGGAGTTTTTTTTTCACTCGTCTAAACTTTTTACCAAACCGGGTACTTTTTTAAGGGCATTTTTTCAAAATTTTAAAAAATTTGTGTAACTTTAACCCTTTGCCATGATTTCTTGTCTTCTTAGTATTTTCAGGGGTTTATTTGTGTTATTTTTTTTGGGTTTTACTATTTATGCAGTCATATTTCCCTTTAAATTTTTTTACCCCTTTTTCGAGTCCCAAATTAAAGTATCTCACCCTATTTTTATAAAAAAAAGGGCCCCGGATTTTTTGGGATGGGCTTCTTCAGACTGCAAAATTTTCCAGTAGTTTTTAAGTTAAATTTCTTTAAAAGGGGAAAACCGGGGGCCCGGACAACTAATCTAAATGAGGCTTTACCGAAATGTAAATTTAAAACCCTTTAGGTTTCTTTTTATTTATTTTTTTTATGAAGCTTTAAATTTCTTTTAACAAAAAATTTTTTTCCCTTTCTTTTTGTCTAAGCTCTTCTTTTATTTAGCCTAAAAAGTGGGTTATTTTCTTTTTAAGGTTTAGAAACTTATGTGAAAAAGGTGGTGTGTGGTGTGTGGTCAGGATAATGGGTTTAAATTATTCTATTACGTCTTTTGGGTGAATCCGTTCTAAGTTGCCTTCCCATACCTGGATAATTAGGATTACCCCCTTACACAGGGCGTGTGTTTTTGTTTAATAGTATCCGGGAAAGGGCCCTTTCCCATCAAACTTAAATGCTTTAAAAATTTGCTCTTTAAACGTATTTTTAAAACAAGCGCTTCCCATCTTGCTACTTCTACTTACAATGGGGTTCACACTCCCATTTTCTTGTACAAGCAAAATTTTATAGTTTCACCACCCTTCTGCTAGTTCGTGTTTTTTGGTTTTTTTCGTCTTATCTCCGGGGGAAGTAAAAACAAAATTTCCCCCGCAACCCAGGGGTTTTGTGGGTTAAGAGGGGGAAAAAATGCGGGAGAAAGGGGGTAGAAAAACCCTTAAACCTGTATACATTAAAAAATTTAAAAAAAAAACCCTTTCATTTGTTTTTTAAGGGCACCTTGCTTCGGGGGTTGCCCGGTTTGTTTTTAAAAAAATTGCAAAACTTTGGGAAAAAAAACAAAAAGGCTTCTTTAAAATTTACATGCAAAAAGTTTTTATTCGCAAAGTGGGTTTTTGGGTTTATTGGAAATTTTTTTTCGGTTAAAACCTGAATTTAAAAAGGGTTTTAAAATTAAGTAAAAATATTTTAACGTGCTCCCCTTTTTTCTTTGCAGGGGGGAAACAGCCTAAATGGGGGGTTTCGATGTGAAAGGGGGTTTCAAAAAACATGCCTCAGACTCAAAGGGGGGCTGTCCCCCTACCTTTTGTTTCCCCAGGATAAATTTCCCAAGCCCTGTGGGGAATGTCCCCGGATGCCCCCATTGAACAGGTGCGAAAACTTTTCCCCTTTTAGGTAATTTTTGGGCCCACTTTTCACCACTTCATCTGAAAAAATTCGTCGTGTGTAAATCAGAGGGGAAGATGGTTGTACACTCCTTTCCCTTCCGGGCCTTCAGAGGTGCTGACATAGGTAGATGATCCGTTTTGGGTTTTTATGTTTCAAAAACGGGCCCAGTGAAAAAAAACCCTTCCCCGGGTTTAAATTATGTGCTGTAATTTGAGAAGGAAAAAAATTTTTAGCCAACCTTTGAAGGTTTTTTTTTTGAGGTTAATTTCATGTTTTCTCCCCAGCCCCTGGATTTTTATACTTTACGTATGTGGGGGATGCGGCGTTTTTTGATTAGAGTTGACCAGAAGTCTAATACTATTTTTTTTAAGTTTTAAACTTTTTTTCACCAGTTTTTGGGTTTAAAAAAAACAGTTCGAGTCCCCGTCCCTTCTGTTTTTTCATTGGCGTTGTACACTAGAAAAATGAATAAAAAATAAAAGGGGAAAAGACGGATAGTGATAAATATTTAGGCGAGATGTAATAGCTTACCTTACCACGAAACCTATGTTGCCCAGTGGGTAAGCTTGAAACCCCGGCCCTTTAAGGGGCCCCGTCTCCCGGCTTGGTTGGACCCGTCTTGCGCGCGGGCTCCCAGATGTTCCCCGGCTCCTCGCCCTTTTTCTGGCCCCCTTTCCCGGAAATAAGAAACCTGACCCTTTAAAAAAAAACTAAGCCCGGGAAAAACCTCAGAGGGCCCAAAAGGGTGAGTGGTGGGGGGACAGGTAGCAAGACTGGGGATGATGCCAGGTGTTGGGGAGAAAAAATGATCCTTAAATGGGGAAACAGTCACCAAGTTGTGAAGCCCCATCCTCTTTTTTAAATCCTTTTTGGTGAGTAACTTTTTTAAACCCTTCAGTTTTTCGTTGTGTTAAATTTTTTTTGTTCCCTTTTTGACATGTAAATGTTTTTGGCATCAAATTTTTTTAAAAAATCAGTTTGGTTTTTAAAGGGTAGTTCTTTTTTGGCGGAAATTTTTAGAAATTTCCCGCACAGGGTATCGTGAAAAATTTTTATTTTGACAAATTACCTGCAAGTAATTTGGTAAGGTTTAAATGGGACTTAAAACACGGTAGGGCCTGAACTGCCCCCCTCCTTTTAATGCCCACTTCTTCACCCTTTACAAAAGGGTAGGGGCCTGGGCATTAAATTATTAATTATTTATTTTAACCAGTTACTTGGTATTTAAAATTATGTGGAATGTACGTTTTTTTTTGGGGTTACTTTTGGGTCACAAATTAAAATTAAAACCCCTTTCCTTTTTTTGCTGTAGGGTAGACACCCAAAACCTGCCTAAAAACCCGCCCTACACTGGCCCGTTAGATCTAAAAGGAAAGGGGCTAATGGTTTTTACTTCCCTGTGAGTGACGGTTTTAAACCCCAAATTTTCCCCCATCCAGTGTAATCCTTTTAGGGTTTCCCGCAAGTTTCTTTTTCCCAGTTCTTCAGTGGGGGAAAGAAAAATGGGTTCCTATTAGAAATTTGGGGAAAAAAGCTCCAAAATGGCCCAAAAAAAAAAATGCCAAATTTTCACTGCACAAACAAGTCCAGTGCTATTTTAAATTTTTTATGGCATCCCCCCCCCTCTTGAAAATTTTCAGAAGGGTAAATCAGCATCCCCTTTTTTTTTTTTAAACCAAAAAACCCTTTTTTTTTTGTATTAAATTTTTACTTTCTGGGAAATTTTGGAAAAAAACCAAATTTTCCACCCCTGAGGTAGAGAGGGGTCATTTATAAAAGACTTAAATTGCTTCATATTCACATTTTAGTTTATTTTGGGATGATACATTTTGTTTTTTCAAGGAATTTAGCACTAGTTGGGTGGGCATGCCAAAAGCCTTTTTTATGGAAAGCAATTTTGGGCAGGCTTTAAAATTAAAATTTTTAAATTTAAAAAGCAAAGTGAACAATATGAAATAAAATTTAGTGTTTTAAACAATTTAAAATTTTAAAAAATTTTCGTTTTTGAAGCATTTTGTTTTTCAAATTTGTTTGAATTTTCAATGTTAACAAACAAGATGATCATAAATTTCTATTGTTGTCTTGAGTTTTAAGGTTTAAGTAATTGAGTGGTTTATTATTTAGTCTGGGTGGTAAGTGGCTTTTTTAAAGGTTTTAAATTGTTTTTTAGACCCATTCCCGCCAAAACTGGGGATGTGTGGCTGTTCTCCTAGTTGGTTTTTAATACAATTTTTTCCGTTTGAAAATTTCCTTTTTTTTGGCGGGCTTTCTTCAATTTACTTGTCACTTTTTCCCCTTTTTTTATCATTTTAAAATGGTTGAACACCCTTTAATTTTCCAAAAAGGAAAAATTTAAATTTTTTAATGGTACGCAAAACTTTCCTGACCAAGGAAAAACCC